TAATGTGTAAAGTTTAGTATACTCTAATCCCTTTTCGTGATGGTAAATGTAATGCTGTTTGAATACGAAAAGGGAAACAACGCCTCTGTAGCCACAGAGAATATCAAATAAGTTTATGGAAATGTTTTGAACGTTCGTAAGTGTCAAAGATGACTCAGCAAATTTCGTTCAGGCGACTTTAGCCTTAACAACTGTGATGGCAGGGGTCGACATGTTGGAATTGATATTGATACTCTGAAGACGCTTGTTGAGTTTAACCCAAGGCAACACACTCGTGAAAAGGCCCTGAAATTGCACGTCTTTCATAAAACAATAAATAAACATCTAAGGAATATGGGAAAACTCCATAGAGAAGGTGCTCGAGTGCCTCACGATCTCTCCGATGATCATCGTTCCCAACGTGTGAACGTTGCTTCGTCTCTTTTTGCGCGTAATGCGCGTGAATAATTTTTGGACAGAATTGTCACCAGTGATGAAAAATGGATTATCTATGTGAATATTAAACGCCAAGCACAATGATTCAATCCTAGACAAAAACCTCTTCCGACCCCAAAACCTGGACTAAATCCGCAGAAAGTGATGCTTTGCATTTTGTGGGACATCAAAGGAGTAATTCATTTCGAACTCCTCAATACACAGCGAACTGTCAATGCAGAGATCTATAGTCAGCAACTGGAACGTTTAAATCAAGCCCTTCATCGGAAACGCCCTTGACTCGTCAATCGGAAAGGTGTTCTTCTTCTCCACGACAATGCACCTCCATACGTGGCACGTTTGACACAACACAAGATTATGGAGTTGGGTTGCGAAGTTCTCCCCTACCCAACATATTCTCCAGATATGGCACCATCAGATTACCATCTTTTTCGTTCGCTGAAACACCATCTTAATGGGAAAACGTATGCAAATGTGGAAGGTGACAAAGAGGACATCGACATGTTTTTGGTTTCAAAGCCAAGTGATTTCTTTAATCGGGGCATTAACAACCTGATTGTAAGATGGAAAAGCATCATCGATAAGAATGGGGACTATTTCATTTAATAAATGTTTTGTTCTGATATACAAGTTGTTCTGGTTTTTTCATCTAAAAAAGGCGACATTAAGTTCTTGACGACCTAATATTTATATATACAGCTCGTTTTGGACGAACATATGTACTTTCTGGTCAGCAGTTAAGTAACCAATCTTGAAAGCTCTCAAAACCTCCTTGATTCCCGTTAGAGGGCCTGATATGAAAATATTGTAAATGTATATGAATATTTTGAATGATCTCTTCACGTCAGTTTTCCTGTAACTCGGTGCAGACAACACTTAAAACCCTATTCACTAAATAAATTACTGCAGTTAACCAATAAAACCCCTATTCTTTATGTAAGTCAGTGCATCCAACCTATAAAACCCCTATTTCGTATGTAAATCAGTGCAGACAACACTTAAAACCCTACTCACTAAATAAATTACTGCAGTTAACCAATAAAACCCCTATTCTTTATGTAAGTCAGTGCATCCAACCTATAAAACCCCTATTTCGTATGTAAATCAGTGCAGCCAACCTATAAAACCCTTATTTCTTATGTAAATCAGTGCAGCCAACCTATAAAACCCCTGTTTCCTAAATAAATCAGTGCAGCTAACCTTTAAAACCTCTATTTCCTATGTAAACCGGTGCAGTCAACCATTTAAACCCTATTATCTATATAAGTAGATGCATTCAACCCTTAAAACCCCTATTTCCTATGTAAATCAGTGCAGCCAACCCTTAAAACCACTATTATCTACGTAAATGATGCAGCCAACCCTTTAGCTTGGCTTGGGCTTAATAACAAACAAACATACCCACCGGGGAGGCGAAGATAGATTAGATATGGAGATTAAAGCTAATTTAAAATTAAATAAATTACTAGTATTTAGTATTTTATTTGGTATTTAAAATTTACGAAATATATATCTTAACACTTCAAAAA